CTCATTAAACAGTGAGACCTTTAAAAGCAGCGGGGGACACGACTGCCTTGCGTTCTCAGTTGTTTTACAGCTTCTGAGAGCAATAAGCATCTGAAAATTGGGGGCTGTTAAAGTGATTCTTCTTTTTTTTTTGTCGCTGCCAAAGTGTTGCTCTTCAACAATGCCAGTAACAGGCACAAATCCCAAGGAAGGTGGAGATAACAGAAGCCTTTTCTTTGCACCATTTTCTGAGGGCAGCTCTGTGGGGAAAGCATTTACACCTGCTTGCCTCATCTTTCACAAACACACTAGGCCCCAAAGTGTGTTTAGCTTGGAAATAACCACATCTTATGGTTGGGGGGGCATGATAAAAAGCAATAGTTTAGCAAGCTAAAAGGCAATCGTTTAACCAGAACGGTGTGTGTGTTATTATAAACAGATCAATGTTGTGTACAACTATAAACTCCTGGTGTGATTTACATGTCAGAGCAGAAAACCTTTGTATTATCTGCTAAACCTCCCAACTAATCAGGACTGTTTGCTGTGGTAAAAAAAATAAATAAATTAAAAACATTGTATCCCAATAAGGATTATAGCAATGAAGAACATTCTCTGTAGGTTAAAACTAACTCAATTCTATGTGTTTGTCACTGATTTTCTTGCAGTTCTGGTGAATTGCACACCAAAAAAGTGCACCCCCAAACCAACAGTGTTGTTTAACTCATTCGCTGCCATTGACGACTAAAGTCATCATTTTAGATCCAACTGTTCACTGCCAATGACGACTAAAGTCGTCATTTGCATTTTTTTACTGTTTGAGCATCGGAACGAGCCCCCGCGCTGAGAGAACAAACATCTCAGCCCTGAAGCCGATCTTTATCCGCATACGTCACAGATCACATGATCAGGAAGCAACACATCCATGTGTTTGGAGATCGTTTTGGGCCGTTCCTGTAAAAAAAGTGAGGCGCGAACCGGAAAAGCGTCTGCCGATCACAATTCGACAACGCATTATGAAGGAACGGATAAGGCTCGAAACACACGGATTCTTCCTGATGTAAGAGGTGAGTCTCCTCTTTGTTTTGGTTGTTTTGGCATCGACATCATGCTAGCACGCAACGTTCTGTGACTCTTAAAAAAACAGTAAAAACAGTGAGAAACGCTGGCAGCGAAGGCCGTTAGTGATCAGGAAACGGCTGGCAATGAATGAGTTAAATATTGCTCTGCTTTAAATGTGTGTTGTGGCCACCAGCCTGGCCTCTTCAGGTGGAGGAGCCAGGATCACCCAGCCCCGGTGATCAGCCCGACACCACCCCTCCTCCTCCTCTCCTCCATGCTGCTGAGGAGCACAGCCGAGCTGAATCCCTCTGAGGACCCACACCTGGGGTAAAAAGGCTGTGCCTTCAGCAGTCTGAAAGGCAGTAGAGTAGGGGTTCTGCTGTCCTCCAGGCATCAATTTGTTTTCAACCCCTTTGAGTAGATCAGTTTTAACTTTTATAGTTTTAACTGTGAGTGATCCAGAGGGATTGTTTTAACGGTTAACTTGGTGATGCAATTTTATTGACCTTCTGTTCTGGTAAAACTTTTAACATAAGTTTTAACCAGGTGTTTTTAATGTGGGTAATTGCTCTTATGTTAACCTTTTTGAGTATTTTTTTCTTGTTTGTCATTATTTCAATAATGCTTACCATCAGTTTGCACTTATTTTAGAACCTTTTATAACAATTAAACCCATTTTAACTCACTATCATGTTTCGTATGTCACCCCCCTCCTTCACATTTTAACACCTCCTGTCGGGGACGTAACAATGTGCTTAAAGTTCTGTTTTAGATGTTCCCTCTTCCTTGCTGAAGCTGATAAAATCCAGTTTTGTCTTCATTAGATAGTTGGTCTACATGTAGATTTATTGGAAAAAAAGCACATCAGATGACATGCTCATATGAAAATATTCATAGGAACAAGCTCTACGGTTTGTTTCGGTCCTTCTATTTGGAGCAACCTGGTGTGTCAAAATGTGTCTCCATCAAACATAGTTTCAGCTCTTACTGCTAAACGCTGCCAGCTCTTTGTCTGCATACATGTTGTTCTCTGGTGACGTCTGACAGTGTCTAGTCATAACCAGCATATTCTTTGGGGGTGTGCATTGGCAACAATCTGGTTATCCGATAAATATGACATGATATGATCGGGGATGCTCAATTTTGCCTTTATTACAGATATCCGATATACCGATACTGTTTGCCTCTTAATCTCCAATACCAATATAAACCAATATATATTATATGCTGTGCCCCCTCTCCTAAATAAAAATAAAAAACTAAATCATTATGGGTTACTAACATCACATTTATCCTATCACTCATGCTTACATATTAAACATGTTTAAATCACAACTACTTCAATTTAAGTTAGTTATAGGAAAAGTGACGTATTTATTTTGTCTCCAACTGCAGCTGAATCTCATTCTCCCTAAGCATGACATGTGTTTTAGTTTGTAATGAATTTGAATTTTTCTGTAAATTCCAACAATGATAAAACATTTATAAGATCTTCAGATAAGAAAAGCAAGCCTTGGATGATGATTTTTTGTTGGTTTGTTTTTGCCGTTTGTTAGCTGCATGGCCACACATAGCTACGTGCTGTGAGGACAGCATACGTTCACTACACAGGGCAAATTTCTACTTCACAAGTTGTGCCAAATTAACTAATATATCTCTAAAACTTTACCTCAGATCTGTTATATTTGGCATTTTGAGAGAGATGAGAAGTAGCAGAGGGTTCAATGTATAAAATGTGTATGTAAAAGTTGTGTCATTAAAATACTGAAAACAGATACTGATATTTTGCCAAATAAAATTTCAATCACGATATCGGCTGATAATAATGGTGGACCAACAATATTGTACATCTCTAATTGTGCTACTTAAAGCCAGATGAAATCTGCAATTTTTAAGACTAACTGGAAACTCTGGTCCGATGATTCCGAGACACATCCAGTGTTGTTGCAAGATCTTGTTCCGTCAGAATGAAAGCAATAAAAACTGCTGCCACCTAGCTGTCAAACTTCACAAAAAAAATACAGTAAATTTTACAAGAGTCACAACCCAAAATATCACAGTATTTCAGTGTATCAAGATATTCTCACATCCCAAATATTTTGAAAGATAACTTATTGAAAAAATCGTGAAATGATAGTTTTATTACCATAATCCACGTTGCAATTCAACACACCATATAATAAGTCACCAGTATCTGCTGGAGCTCTAATGCTAATCAGTTGTAGAGCAGAAACCTTGTTGACACCATGTTTAATGTTTTAAGTACATCTGTCCCTATGTGAAATGTGTTCACTAACCCTGAGTGAATTATGAAACACAATAGATGAAAACAAAGGCACAACTCCCTGATTTTAGGTAAATCCATCCCAGCACTTTTTTTAAAAATTACCATCAACATCAAAGCTTATCTCATTGACTTTCAACTCCATTGACGTGGTTGGGGGTAGGTATCAAACATTAAACAGCATTTTTCATTCATGAGAAAATCATGTTCTGTTTTAACAATCGAGAGAGAAAAGCTGATTCAGTGAAGTTGCTGCGGGGGTAATTGATAGGGATCCAACAAAGGTAACTCCTGGGGGAAATGCTGGATCATGAATTCCTGCCATACCAGCAGGAACATGGACTATCTATTGAGATTTTTTTTCTTCAAACCCCAGAGGGCAAGAAAGTGAAGTTAATAAAGAATTTAAAAGGGCATTTGAAGCTGAACCACAGCCATGTATTTTATTGAAGCTGTAAGTTTATCCAAAAATGTCTTGTGCAACTTACCCAGTGAAAAACATGAACGAATCAGATACGATGAATGGAAATTATTACTAACACCTTGTCCCAAAAACAACATTTTAATAATTGGATTTTTTTTGCAAATGCAACAAAAAGAGAGCAAGTCAAAGGTACAGCGTCTGTGAAAGACATGAAGAGAACGACATGACTGCTGGTCCTCTCTCTGGCTTTTTCATTAAGCTTAGCAACAACTGTTCTTTTCGAGCCACATCCACTCTCCATCTGTATTACGCTGCAAACTCACCTCGCAGCTGCCCGGGGAAAATTGCTGCTGATTTCACACAACAAAGGGGAAACATAGGAATGAGTCTAGTTTGTGGACCTGGAGGCTTAAGAAAGACGGGAGAGAGAAACTGCTGGCAAGCTGACTGGTGTCCAAACAGACGCAGGGTATATGTATGGAAACAAAAAAACTTTGAGGATTCTATATTTATGTCCACACACGCCGACAGAGTTTGGATTTTTACTCTTCTGCGCTTGACAGGGCTTTGACTTTTACCCTCCCACTGCTGCTAGAATTAGAGGGGTGTACACACTCGGTGCCAAGGAAGTGGAAAACAATCAAATTGTCATAGGGGGGGATACATCAAATGCCTTCGCTACACCCTCTTCCACCAAAAAGAAGGCAAAAATTGACCCAGCAATGCTTCTGTTATCCATAAGCAAGTCAAGTTGCCTGTTTGTGTATCAGAAAAACAAACTGGCTGCGACAAGTAAACTCCCAGAGCTTGGTTCCTCCACCCTGATAGAGAACTGGTCTACTGGAGTGGAAAAAGCAAGCAGTAAACCAAGCATAGCTGCTCTGGTTTACACATACATGCACAGTTCAAGTTTGTGCACACACTTCACAAAATACAAAAGAAAAACAAAAGATCTCTAACCACTCAATGAGAACAAAGACCAAATGAAATTCTTAGCTTTCTGGAAATGCACCACAGCAGGAGCAACAGTTTCCTTCACGGGAGAAAACATTTGACTTGAACATATACAGAGCAGACATGCAAATGTGTGGAAATAAAATGTCCGGTTTTACCGTAATTAACATTTCTGTGAGGAAAAAATAAAGTGTTGTCACCAGATAAAAGTGCCGTGGTGACTACTGCCTGAGAGGCTAAACGAAGCATGTGTGTGAAGATTAATTAAGGTTGCATTAGAGAGAGATGACACCTCCTTACCTTTACTCTGTGACGAGAAGTAGAGGGAGAGCTGGGCAAATAGGTCAGGATTTTCAAACTTCTCTTCTTTGACTTTGATCCAGAAGCAATTCTCCGCCATTTCCTGAGGCACTATCTGCAATGACACAAGGATTCCATTATCGGCACAATCACAAGCCGTCATTCCATCAACCCGCCACTCAAACTTCTTGCTGGAAGATAGGGTCTGTGAGTGGTTTCCTGTGTAGGGGTTACACACATGACCTTGTGTGGCACACTAAGCATCTGAGTGGCAAAGGGAAAATGTAAAGTTTGGCATCTTTAGAACACGGCCAGTCCTAAATGAAGAGCTTTTAAAAAAACCAGCAAGGGTGAACAGAGATATCATAGCTTATGCTTGTTGCGTCTGTTTGTACACTCCTCCATCAGAGATGTGGGTGAAAGAGGAAAGTCTCTGAGAGGCATCCAAACATATGCAGAGAGACAAAAGCAGACCACTGGGAGGGCTTTCTGGCTTCTCTTCTTTCACTCCCACTGTGCTGCTCAGCAGTAAAGTAACAGCAGGAGCGTAAAAAGACATTCAAATATAAATCAAGCTAATATGATGCATTTTTTACAAGCTAATGTGTGACTGCAGTTCCACTATTCATTCTGAGTGGAACTTGAAGGGCTTCTGGGGTACTTTTGTTGTGGCATTTTATTTAGGATCTGGACAACAAGTTCTCCACTAGAGCTATTCACCTCCAAACCAGAGTTAAAAGATGTAAGCATTTATGCAATGCAGACAGAGTTCTAGCTGGTAGTCAACAATCATCCTCAAGGCCGCGCCGTAATGGTGATAAAGTGTAACAGCATTGGAAAGCCTCCAGCTGCTTTAAAGGAGGTTTATGATTCTTTATGGGCTTATTTTCTGTGAAGTTTAGATAAAAAGTGAATATGTGCCCCCATTTTCTCTGATTCAGTCCTTGAGTGCAGCCTGTCATGTCTGCGTCTTAAAGAAAAAAAGCAAAACTGGAAAAGACGGGACCAAAATCAATAAAGATCAAATCTGAGGTTTCCTTCACCCGCACCCCAACCACAATAAGTGCTTCTGCTAAAATGAATACCAATAACACCACTGGACTACCACTCAAAGTGACAATGTTTAGTTTTTACCATTAATCTCTGGAAATATCCATCGAAATGTTGTTGAAATTCAATTAAAGATGACCAGTTGTTGAAAAATATTGGCGACTTTGTTACACATACCCATAAAAACTGAGTCTAAAATACCAAAGACGTGAATATGTAAATGACCCATTGGGCGCTGGAGAGTGAAACTGTGTGGCCGCCATATTGGATGGGTCCTTTAAACCCAAACCCAACTGGACTCACTGCAGAATAAGCAACTGGTGCTCTATTGAAAACATATCATGTAGGATTACTATTGACTTTCTAGCCTACCTGTTGGAATTTTATATTTCAATGTATTTTAATTTACCTAGTTTAATTATATTTATATTTAAATTATTACACAATACCTCATGTCTTATAAACATAATAAAATGTGTTTTTTTAGATGGGTAAGCACCTTCCTCCTTAGAAATAAATGCACTGGGGGCGAATTGAGACCCATACAAGATGGTGACCGGCCACTGCGGCAGCTCAAACAGGCAGCGCAATTCCACAGGGCATTTACGATGTCTGTGAAAAATACATGGAAGCAGGTCTAAGCTTGTTTCTCAATGCAAAGGAACCTCGCCTTGATGTCTTGGCCCCACATGGTTGCCAAGGAGACATGTCATCAGGAACAACCAAGACGTGTTCTAGTGTTCATGTTCTACCGAGGTGTGTGTTCTCCGTTTGTTAGCCATTTAGCTAAGCTGAGCAAGAATACACGGGAGGTGTCTTGTAGCCTAGCCTTGACGGCAGATCAGAAGCCGGCATCTACTTCGGGGACTAATTTCAAGTTTACATGTAAGTCAACTAATTTAAAATTTTTTTGCTAGATTCAAAGAAGTTATCTATGGTTGGTTAGTTGCTTAGTAGTTGCAGCTCCGGTGGCTGGCAGATAGTAACTCGCTTACATATTTAATTTAACTAACATATACACAATTTTAAAAGTAAAATACTCGTTATATATTCATAGTGAAACTTATATGTATAAAACTTTACGTTATCTCCAGTGTCACACGATGTTACGTGACTGCCGCGGAAGCCGCGGTCACGTGATGTAAGTCTGTTCCATTTACCCGTTTTCTTTGACCAAGGAAGGACAGCGCCCTCTTAAGCAAGGCACCTGGCCTCGCAAGACAACGGCTCGCAATGCCAGGCGCCTTGGCATTGAGAAACACCCAAAGTATCAGGGCGACGCCATACTGGACACAATGTGTCTTTCTACGGGAGCCCATGAGGACAAAACGCATTTATTGATTTGTAACAAGTAGCGATGAGTAACGAATCCGGTACATTTTAAGGTACCGACCGAATTCCACAGTACCGACCGAGCACCGATTCACGTCATTTGAAACGGTGCCTCGTTTCGGTACCCGTCCTTCATAACGAGAACTTGCCTAGACAGCTGCGCATGTGCAAGAGCGTTATGTCATCGGTCGCTGCGAGCCAGTTGTAAACAGAGCAGCATGGTAGAAAGAACGCATGCTAAAGCTTGGGTCCACTTCACTAAATGTGATGGGTAACTGGGTGATGATGAAACCAGCGACAACGATCTAAGTGAGACATCCTCATCTTAATCTGCTCCGGTAGGTAAATAAAATGTTTAAGATAACGTTAGCTTGATATGTTAGCTTCCGTTTCGCTAATGGTGCGTTCGCTTTCTCCTCGGAACTCCGAATTTCCGACTAGAACATGAACGTGCTCTAAAGTTTGGCTTCATTTTACTAACGGGTGATTGGGTGAAGATGAAACCAGTGACAACGATCTAAGTGTGAGGAATCATCGTTTTAATCTGCTCCAACAGTTAAATAAACTGTTTAAGATAACGTTAGCTTGATATGTTAGCTTCCATTGCCACCATTGTTATCAGCTAATGGTGCGTTCGCTTTCTCCTCGGAAATTCTAACTTCCCAGTAGGAAAAATCAAATGAAAAGGACGGCAAAATGAATAAAGATACACAGTAAATTTAGTTCACAGTAAAGATGTTTGCTTCAGTTTAATTATCAGCTTATAACACTACAAGGACGATGTTAAAATACAAACAGTTGATATTTATCATTATATATTGAGAAAAATATATATTTAATTATAAAAGAGAATTAAAATATTAAACACTCAAAAGTATCGAAAACCGGTACCGTTAAGTACCGGTATCGATTCCTAGGTACCGGGAATTAGTACTGAATCGATTCAAATGTCCCTAGTAACAAGTGGTTACAAAGATTTCGCCATTCATAAACATTTTTTACACATTTACGTCTTCACTTGTTGCCAGTGATGAGAGGAAGTCTGATGTATTTGTTATTTTGCTGGCGGTTGAACGATCTGACAAAGTACTTGTTCAAAAATTGTGCTCCCAGGGATTTCTGACCCTAATGGCCATCTGTTGGTAAGGTCTTACTCCCCGCCTGCTTGCAATAATTTAGGTATGTACTGCCCCCTATGACCAGGGAAAATACACATTGTTAGTTTCACATATGGCATTTATTAGGTTCTCCTGTCCATGAGCATCTTCTTTGGGTAGTCTGACTTGATTCCAAAATGAAAAACCGTGAATGTTAGGTTGACTGAGGTTTAAAAATTGACTCTAGAATTAAGTGTGTGCTTATGGAGGTTAGCTGGAGTACAGTTGTGTACATCTACAACTTTCATAAAAGCTTCCCCAACTGAATCCCAAAATTTTAACATGCCTTTTCTGTTAAATAATGCCCATTGTTGAGGTATTTTATGTATTTATTTTTTGACATGACTATTTTTTTCTCTAAACCACAGGATATTTGTTTTATAATTGTCTTAAATATTTTGTTATTGAACTCTTGGTCCATTAAGTTACTTTGGGAGTTTCTTGCAGAGCTTGAGTGGAATAACGATTGCCTCTTGGTCTTTGAGGGAAGGCATTTATTTCAACTTGAGCTAATGAACTAATGTGGGGTTTAAATATGAGCCTGCCTTGTGGTGCTTTGTGCACCAGAAGTTATTTTCCTCCTTCGACTGCAACCATGTTTCCCCTTTGTTCAGTCATTCTGATACCCTAATAAAAATTTGTGATCAGCAATTTGATATTATGCTAAAATGTAATTATATAAACAGCAACGGGTTGGGGTTTATGGCTGAAATGGAAGCCAGATCACAGTTCCATGTGCCTGACTCTCATTTTCTCATGTGAAAAGCGCTGTATTTAATTTTAATTACTAATTTTCTGTGGGATTTAGTGATATACAAACAAGAATGTACATGTAGGAAATAATTAGTCTTTAAAAAGTAATTTACCTCTTAAGCAAAGCTGACTTTCCCTGCAAATACTTGTGTCAGACTTGTCCCATGGGTATCTTGTAATATTGCTACTGGCTAATAATGCACTGCCACCACATCTCTTGTTTAAACACAAACGTAATTAGCTAAAGTATGCTAAAATGTTCCACACACATAAACCTTAATTGTCTGAATGTGCACCTGGAGAGCTGGGTGCACATGACACTGTAAACTAAGAACTTACAACACATGAATCACTTACTGTCATGTTTGTCTACTGCTTTCAGACATGTATTAAGTAAAACATGGAGAGAAAATAGTTAGAAAGAAATAACAATTCTCCTGTTTTCATGGCCATTTTAATGATAGTCAAATATGGCACTTCTGTGCTTCAGTCTGTCTCACATTGAGAAAACAGATGAGTCATGTTCCACTTCATCGACACAAAAGAAGCAGATTGTTTTCTTCAGGTGGTTATGAATTTCATTTGCATCAGCAAACTAAATTCCCTGTGGAGGCCAGGTTAATCCAGCTGCACTTTTACCTGTTAATGTGCACTCACAGGCAATGGACATTTGTTCTCAATCAAATGCTCTTAAATCATGATAAAAGGGAAAAAAGAACTCTTGCAAAACACATGTTATTGTGTCTATAATTATCATGACATAAAAATTCAACATTGTGCTAAAAAATGCATGATATCTCAAAATGTTACCAAATGGCAATCATGTGCTCAGAATAGCTAGGATTTATAAAAGCCTGTAATACAAATTAGACTCCAACAGCCAGCCTTTCCCCAAAGTCAACATGCACCTCACTGTTACGAACATCCTTTGATTCCTCAAAGCAGCTACCTTTGGTTTTGATCACAGCTCTGCAAACTCTGACCATCTTGGCAATAAATGTTTAAAAGAAGCTGACTGCAATCTCTCCATGCAGTTTGAAGACATTCTCTGAACAGGTGTGCGTTAGTCAGCTCCATCGTTCAAACTCCTCAGTCAAGCTCATCTCAAGAAAGTTCTGTAGGCCCATGTCCAGTGGTTGAGACTGAATAACTCAACAAAGCATGCATTTGTCTGCTTGTTTTATTAGAAAAAGCCTGCAGTTGTGCTTGAGATCACTTTCTTGACAAAGTTGGGACCTTTCAAAGTAGTTAAGCTGCACAAAAATGTGCTCGAGCTGTTTGGAAATTCCCTCTGAACTATTTTATTCTTGTTGAGTTGAAACTGTTATAGACGGTCCTTTTCTTTTACGTTCTGCTTTCTTTTGAGTTTTCCAACCTGGTAGTTTTGTTCCAAAGTAGGTAGTATCCACATTTGATTTTGCACTACAGCAAAACATCAGAGGAGTTTGTTGAGGCTGTTGAACAAATACAAATAAACTTCTAAAACACCTGAGAACCACTCTAGAGTAGCTGTTTTAATAAAACAGATAATTTTATTGATAACTTATTGTAAAACTGCTTATTTAATGACTATTTTATGCTACAGTATATCAATATATGTCACCCATGTAAAATAAAGCCTAAACAATTTCAAGCACATAAAGAGTAAAGGTATACTGGTGGAGGATACAAGATTCAAGTCTACTAAAAAGCACCAAATAACGTGAAAATCAAATTGCTAACATGGTGCCAAAAATATTACCTGATATTTAATTTGCAGTCAGTAATTAAAGGCTAAAGCACCAGGTCGCAAAAGTATTAGTGAAAAACCATTACAACAGCAGTAAAAAATCTTCAGGCAGTGGATAAATTATCTGTGGTGAAATATAACCCAGATGGAGGCGAACATGCCATTGAAATTGTATTCCAATGTGATGGAACATTGCACATCCCATTCTTAGTTCAATTAAGCTACGATTGTGCTAACCCAATGACATTTGAGCAGCAAAAATTGTTTACTGGTGGATCCTTTGAAATGGGTGCTGAGAGCAGAAAAGTGTGGCTTAACGCTGAGCGGCTGTTTGACTGGATTATGGGAGCATCTGAATAAATCTTCTGGTTTGAACTTTCAACTTGGTGTGGAGCCCTGACAGAACCAGAGTCTGAAGAACTAAATACATGAATTGTATGTAAAATAACTATATAATAACAAGAAACCCTATTAATCTCTGCGTTAGGAGCTCTCAGCTGTGAACATGATGATGCACAGTCCAAAGGTTACCTTCGTCCAGTTGACCCTCTTCATCACAGTCTCAGGCTTGTAGACCTTCTTAGGCTGCAGTCCATAAGGCAGCTTTACAACCGGCAGTGAAGGAGGAGGTGGGGGACCTCCAGGACCCCCAAAAGAAGGCGGAGGAGGTGGAGGCCCACAACCTGGAGGGGGTGGTGGTGGTGGAGGTCCTCCACCCGGGGGTGGAGGAGGTGGCGGTGGAATCCCAGCATGGGCAGGGACAGGAGGTGGAGGTGGAGGGGGTGGTGGGCCGCCACCAGGAGGGGGAGGTGGAGGAGGCGGAGGTACTGGACCCCCTGGTAGAGGTGGTGGGGGTGGTGCTCCAGTTGCAGCAGGACCTGCAGCAACCTGTAAATACAGAGTAGAAAAGTCAAAGGCAGATACTCTGATGAGCTAGGTTTTCTTTGATCCAAGCCCGAATCACCTAGCCTAGTGAACTAGACCAAATTCTTGCTTTGCAAAGTTTGCAAATAATACATTTATTTAGACTAAATAATTCATTTATTTAGTCTGGCTTGCCAGGCTACGAATCACCAGTATGGAACTTCAAGTGCTGCAGACAAAATACTATTGACACGTTTATGCAATGTAGTCGTTTTAAAATCTACACTAAGCCTAAAATGAGACAAACACTGTAAACCATTGTGGTTTCAAACTGATAAGTTTAACTACATGTTTAAACGTTTCTACAACATCTGCCAAAAGATTGTTTCAAGCTAAATTTAAAGGGGATCTTGGCAGTTTAGGCTTGCTTTTAGCACCTCCTAGTATCCATTTGTAGAACCAAAACCTAACTCCTCGCTGTCTCACATCTCCTCAGCCTTCCTGAGTGACTGGCCACAGGGGGCGATGGGGGCTGGGTGGCCTTTCATTAAGGTCATTTTAGCACATACTGGCTTATGAAAATTATTTTAAAATGTGAAAAAGTTGCTAAATATCCCTTTAACAATGATGACTTATCATAAAGCCATTGAATTAAAGCTACAATGCCTACGTGGTTCACCCCCTCCGTAATATTGACCAAGAAAACGGCAACTGGTGTTTAGCACCATCTCGTTTACTGTGGGAATGTGGGTTCCTGTATCAGGCGGACACAGCCTGGGGATGACAGCTGAAGGGAGGGCTGTGAGTTCTGTGGCCGTGTTTAAAAGCTAGCTTGTTTCGACATTTCAGCTTTAATGTTAAAGTGTTATGTTATGGCAGATGAAATCATTTGAGCTCTAAAAAATGACTCATCTACTTCAGCTATTAAATAATCTACAATAATCATCTGCAGATATCTGGTCACATGTTTACATCTTTGAGTTTAGAAATAAGCAAAAGTGAGTCTATTAGATTAATCTCTTTTAAAATACAGATCAAAAAGTTTTCTAAAGCAAAATAAAACTAAAACCTGAAGGCAAGTGCATTCATTTACAGGGAATGAGAATGTTGCTTTCACATCAAGGCATCATTATGAGTGCTCACAATCGTGAGGTTTTAAACCATAAACAGAGACTTAATTTTCACCTGAGACATGTCAGCACTATCAAGCATCTCTACATGAACCGAAAGATGGTGAGAATCAATAATGACGCCAATGGAAAAGTGTTGGGGGGGGGGGGGTATGCAAATTTCACAATTACAGGGCGGCTTCTTAAATAGGGTTTAGATTAGATGTCGGCTCCTACCGAAAAGGATTTCCACTTCTCATTTCCAAAACTAAATCACCTCTATGTGTATTTCCCCCAGTCACTTGATTGTGTGCGTAAAATGTAATTGGCTTCATATTCAAAGACATTACATAGTGTTTCATTACATAATGGCATTGACAGATTTCTTATTAGGGCAAAAATTAAAAAGGTGTTCTGTGAGGAGCTCCTCACCCAGATTGCTCACAGACCTTCACTGAAAATCTGCACCCGGTGATTACACGCCTGTCAATCTTTTAGCACTAATATGAGAGAATAAATGCATATTAGCTGCTGAATAAGAGCGGGCCGTTTTTTATTTATTTATTTTTTTAACGGAAGAGTGTCATTCTCTTTATCCACATCTCCCTGATCTATTACATCACAAGAGCAGTTTTCAATGGAAATCACTTTAGCTTTAACACCATCAATCAGAAGAGATTTAGTTTTAAATGTAAGATGATTTTTTTGTTTCTTTTACATAAAATAAATAAATAAGATTGACAGCAGGCATTACAATTCAGCAACCCATATGGGATTTGCATGTGCTTTTCAAAATATACAGTGTGAAGGAAGGTCTGTAAATAAAGATATTGATTATGTCTTTATAGGACCATGGGCAACCATTTAGATAGAGATGCTGTTTAATTTAAAACCTAAAGAGAAAATCATTTTTTTATAGGAAATAATCCAAAAAATGAAAATGTTCTAGATCTGATTTAATCCAGTTAAAATGAGTGTTTCACAAACGTTTGTATGACTCAGAAGTTTCTAGTCTTTCTTACACTTGGTTTAATAGAATTTCTATCTTTAGCTCCATGTGAAGTAGGAAATTAGCCTCAAACCAAAATCCAACCCATCCAACTGGGATATAAACTTTTCTGGAGTCAGCGAGGAGGTCAGCTGGGCAGGTAATTACATCTGAATGTGATGGGATCAAATGTTTGCCCCGATCTCATCTCTGATCAAAAATTTAATCATGAGGGTTTATTTTTTTTAATAGCATCTAAACAGGCATGTAATTTCTGTGTGGTTACAAACAATGGCAGCTTTTTCCAGAGCTTCCACCTGCTGTCTTTGATTTGATCAAACATTCAAAACATGCAGAATATAAACATAGATCTGTACTAAATATATTTACTCTGTAGATAAAATACCTTTGGTAATATTGTAAATATACACTCACCAGCCACCTTTTTAGGTACACTGCAATTGCTCAACAACATAAATAGTTCATTTGCCGATCACGAGGCAGCAGCTCAGTGTAAAGCCATCCAAACGGAAGATTCAAGGGACTTAGCACGGTTGTTTGTACCAGACAGGGGGCTCTAAGTTTACTAAAACTGATGATTTACTGGGATTTCCACCCACAACCATGTTTAAGGTTTACAGAGAATGGCCTGAATAGGGAAAATAATCAGTGTGCAGCAGTTGTGAACTTTGTGGAGGTCAGAGGAGAATAGGGTAGTGCAAATGGTGTCACTCCCGTCAGCTAAGAACAGGAAACTGAGGCTACAATTAACACAGGCTAAACGAGATTAGATTACAAGAGATTGGAGATTAAATAAAACACCAGTTCCAATGACAATGAGTCTAATTCTGAGTTGAGAATGATTTTTGTCTCTCCTCTCTAAGTCCTGTAAGGCCCCGTTGTCCTGCAGGTAACTCAGCACAGCTGATTCCACTCTACATGTCAGAAACAGAGCAAAAGTCCTAGGGAAGACTTCTAATGCTGCCAGTGGGCCACCTAACAGTCTGTGGATCCAATCGGTGATAGAGATGTGTTTGCTTCTCTCTGTAATCTGCAGGTTTTGGTGTTTGTGCAAGCTCTTGTTGGAAATTTCATCTTTTGAGCTTGTTTTCTTTTTTGATTAACTAAACTTAATTTGTTTTTTCTCTAGTTTAGGAAGATGCTTCATTTTAAATTGTAATAAAACTAGTTTCATTTTGCACCAAGCCTATCTTGAACATCATGCATTGTCACTTCCCTGGATCTCCACACACAGTAGAGTCATGCAGAAGGGACAATATGGACAGCAGTAGCTCAGGAGGTACAGTGGGTTGTCCAGTAATCAGAAAATCGCAGGGTCGATATCGGCTCTGACCAGAGCTAATGTTGTGTCCTTGGGCAAGACACATAACCTGGCTGGTGGTGGTCGGAGGGGCCAGTAGTGCCAGTGTTTGGCAGGCCTCGCCTCTGTCAGTGCACTCTAGGGCAGCTGTGACTATGTCGTAGCTCATCCTCACCAGCGTGTGGGTGGGTGGGTGACTGATTGTGTTGTGAAGCACCTTGGGGAGTTGTAGAACCCTAAGAAAGTACTATATAAATACAGGCCATTTACTAATTACATAGAATTAAGGTGGTTCTGAAGGGAAAACTGGGTCCAACCCAATACCAGTTACTTGTACCTGATAAAGTGGCTGGTGAGAGTATATTAGTGCTTTAACATGCAATGTTCATTGGGGAGAAAATCATTCATGCAAAATATTTTTTATTTTTTTCATGTGTTTAAATCAAACAAATTTAAACTTTTTGTTTTCATCCTATACACTTTAATTTGTATTTGAATGTGATTAAAGACAGGATTTATGCTGAGGGCCACGCATGCAAAAACGACACCCACCTTGGCTTCAGATTCCCTGATGAGTCTCTGAGCCTCTTTGAGCTTGTCTTTTTCTATAGCTAACTGTGCAGACACAACACAGACACCAAGAAATGTACACTATGTCACGACATTGAGGACAACAAAGAAGCACAAATGGGGGGTTGGATTAGACAGACGTTTAGGAGGAACACTAGTAAATGTCAACAGGTACAGAACTCACACCAAACACAATAACGACAGCAAAGATGCAAGGAAAGAAAAAAGGAGGTCCCTTACAGAGATAATGTCAATAGTAGTACAGAGCTATACTCCCATTATGTCAGAATGAGCTGTTTCATGTGCAGGAGGCAGAGTGTGATGTACTTTTACACCTAAAACAAGATGTAATCTATCTTCAAAAGAACATCGCTGTAGAACAATGACTGCATAAAAGGCAGGCTGCACAGCATCACTGACAGTTGGTGCACCTTAAAAACCCTGTCTTCTATTTCCATTTTTTCTTTTCTCTGGCATCGCAAAAACACTTTTCAACTTCGCACCCTCAGATGTGTGATGGGCATTGATTTCACTGTGCAGTCTTTGTTTTAGAAATGTACCCATTGTACTTTGATATTTTACTCTGCGCCATCTTGCCAAAAGTAAGAAAATAGAAGCGTATCTGAAGCAACTAAAATGCAATATTTTTCAGGGAGCCAACCCCACAAAAAAGTCCTTCTATAGACCGTAAGGGCCTACATTTTTAATATGCAAAGAGGAAAAAGGGAGGGAAACCTTTAATTTTGTCATTTAAAAACCATTAGTGACACTTTACAATAGGAGTCCCTTTATTAATGTTACTTAGTGCATTATTTGTCATGTTCTGTGTCCTTGTGGTCCCCAGCTCCCTCCTGGTTTCCCTCATGTTCCCCCCTTATCGTTTCTGTGCCCCTTTGGTCCCCAGCACCCTCCAGGTTAGTCACTTCATACTTAGTTATCCCATCCCTGGTAGTATTAATTATTCCCATATATTCCCTTTCTTTGGTTCTTGTCTCTTTAGTTTCCCTAGTTGAAGAAGAAGAAGAAGAAGAAAATATCATTTCTATAGCGCCTCAAGATAAAAATCATGAGGTGCTTCACAAAAACAACAAACAAAAAAATAAAAAATGTAAAAATATAAAAAATCATTTAGAAAATGTTTAAAAATAGATTTAAAATGAGCAATTGCGATTTAAAAGAAAAAATGTTAAGAAAGAGAGAGTTAATAGAAAAGGGAGATCAGTGGATCTTGAGGAAGGTGGAATAGGTGGGGAGAGCAGAATAAAGAGAGAGTGGTGAAGAAGGTCATAGAAAAGGCAGCTTGAACAAGTAAGTCTTCAGCTGCTTTTTGAAGGAGACCACTGAGTCCACTGATCTCAGGCTCAGGGGGAGAGAGTTCCAGAGTCTGGGGGCCACAGCAGCAAATGATCTGTCACCTTTGGTCTTTAGCCTGGTGCTGCACAACCAGTAGGCTTTGATCACTGGACCTCAGGGACCTGCTGGGGGTGTAGGGACTAAGAAGATCACCAATGTAAGATGGTGCTTGTCCATGTAAGGCCCTATAGACCAGAACCAGGATCTTGAAATGAACCCTGAAGTTGACTGGCAGCCAGTGAAGCTGGAGGAGAAGCGGGGTGATGTGGGTGTGTTTGGAGGACTTGGTCAGAAGCCGAGCACAGGCATTCTGAACCACCTGTAGACGGTTCACGGAGGTTCTGCTCAGACACGTGAAAAGAGAGTTACAGTAGTCTAAGCGTGAGGAGATGAAGGTGTGGATAACTGTCTCAAGTTCAGAGCGTGACAGAATGGGACTCAGCTTAGCAATGTCCCTGAGATGGAAGAAGGAAGAGCGAACAAGAGAACTGACATGAGAATCCAGGGTGAGAGCTGGGTCAAAGGTCACGCTAAGATTCCTGACGGAAGGTTTGGTGTGAGAAGCAAGCGGACCAAGAGAGTCTCTGACTTTGGGAACCAGCTTGTCTGGGGCACAGATGAGGATCTCAGTCTTATCTTCATTCAGCTGAAGAAAGCTCCCAGCCATCCAGGTTTTGATAGAGTCTAAGCAGGTGTGTAACGGCTGCAGCTTAGACATCTCATGGGGCTTGAAGGAGATGTACAGTTGGATGTCATCTGCATAAAGATGGTAGGAGATTCCTTTGAAGGAGCCTTGTTGGAGATTCACTCATCATCCTAATAAAAGGAGTTTTTCATTTATTCAACCGCTCCTGCCGGAGTTGTTCTGGGTTCTGCATTTTGGGTCCGAACCTCCTTCTCTCAACGTGACATTATTAAGCAATAATAAACTATAAAATAAAGTACTAAACTGTCTTTTTATTAATGTTAACATTAAGTAATGCATTAATAAACAGACACTCCCCTTTGACCCAACCTTAAGGACACTTAATATTTAACGTCAATAAAGACCACCATCTGATGCAACAAGGTCAAGTTAAGATGTGTGTCCTTTGTTCCTAAAGGGGAGCCTTTGTTTATTAATGCTTAATAATGCACCTTAATAAAGGGACCCTTATTGTAAAGTATTAACAAATCCTTTTATGTTTTTAATTGAATTGGGTTATAAAGTGCTATATTTAATTTTTTACTTTGAGAAAAAAAGTTGGAAGCCTTCAGATCACTGAACAAGCCATTGAAGAAGTGTTTGTTTCTCTGTGCTCTCTTGACCATCAGCTGATGCAACAAGGTCAAGTTAAGATGTGCGATGGAATGAAATGACAACTTTAACTGTGACTTTACCCTACTTCACAACAACAAAGCCCATAAATGGTTGCTTCATTCTGAGTTCTGGTGTCGTCAGTTAAGTCAAATAGTCTAATCATTTGGGTTAAACAGCAGTCTGGCGTAAAAGACAGAGAAAGGTCTACTACACCTCCAGCTCCTCTGGGGGCCGTGCTGGGTCAGCTACAAGCTGGCCAGGTTGTTAAAACCTATTAATGGGATGGTGCAGAGTGCTCCAGCGAACCACTGCAGTGCTACATTATTCATCACAACCAGGGCCGATTCAGTGAACAGCTTCCCCCCTCCTGCCTTGAATGGTTGCAAGCAAAGGTTTACGGAATAGTGGATGAGTTCTGTTGCCTTGTGATTTCAGTGTCCTTTGTTGATGTTTACAAGCAGAACCTCCTCTCATTTCAAATGGGAGATAATCAAAAAGACACATCAAACACACTGCTTGTTGAAATGTCAAAGTTCTAGAGAAATACTCTCATTAAACACGTCGGTTCACCAACAAGGTGAGGTGGAGCAGCTCAGACACGCATGTGTTTTAATATCTGACAGGAACTGAGTCTATGAGATGAAAGGTTAGGGTTAGATGTAACATCATTCATATTCAGCAAAACGATGGCAGCTTTGATGGACAAACCAGATTCATGTCCTCACACTGGCTGTGTCTCAATTCAGGGTCTGCATCCTACCTCGGCCGGATTCGTCGGCCGGTTACGTCACAGCGCCGCGACTCGGCCTGTCCCAATTCGAAGACTCCTTCAAATGCGGTCGACGAATGCGGCCTTCTTTTCGCCTGAATGAAGGATGGGTCGGGTGTATCCTTCAATAGGTAGCATTTCCCAAGATGCCTTGCGGGCCGGCCGGCAGAAAAACTTAAAAACAATGGCGGACAGTGAAGCGGGAGCTGTCGGAGAGGATTGCGCTTATAAATGTAAGTATAAACTTGAAAACTGTCAGTTTAAGGACTTTTTGTGATACATGAACGTTATTTTAGTTAGAAATGTTACAGTAAAAGTGCTTGTATTGCGGTCTCGGCTCGTATGTTCGGCCGCGCTCGGTGTCGTACTTCTCCCACTACGTTTCCCCCTGATTTTAATAGAAGTTTGTATTTTAGGACCAAAAGAGAAAACCAGGGAATTTATTAAGCTTAGGGCGGAGATGGACCACATGATCACCGGAGCAAAGTATTCGGCGGCTGTGGCATGGAGGTACAATAACATCTCATATTTTAAAAACTCGTTTGAGTATATTTTTTTCTGCGAAAACATGAAAGGAATAACCCGTTGTCCTCTTTTCTCTTCCTGTTTCTTTTCTTACATGTTTGTTAAGACTATTCTGGAGAAAATGGGCATCCAGGGGAAGGTGCCAGCGATGAGCTTCTGGAGCTGATCTGGGAGGACATGAGGCTGCAGAGCAGCAGAGAGCACAGGAGAGAAGGAAGAACTTTGACAGCTTTTTACTTTGCTAGAAAAAAATGGTTAATGAAGATTAAACATGTACATGTAAAAGAAATATCTAAATAAAATCAGTTCTGCATTAAACTCTTGAATTTTATTTTTGTTTACAAATGAGAATTGTTTACTAGAGGGTATCCGCTGGGTCTTGAAAAGTCTTAAAAGGTGATAAATCGGTTTTGGTCAAAGTAAGACCCTTAGAAAGTATTAAAAACTATTATCACATCTTTGCTCAGGCTCAGCTAGTCTAAAGTATTTTCTCTGAATTAGCTCTCCAACAGTCAAGGAAATGATTAACCCCCAGAGACCCACGGTTGTAGTATTACAACATCAGATTTAAGTCTACAAAAATAAACCTTCCCCATTTTTTTTCTTTTTAAAACCACATTTACATTGCTAATAGGTCCTATTCAGTTCTGCAACACTATTGGCTGTTAAAATGTGTAAATAGGCCCGTTTATCTGGCCTCCTAGAACAACATGTGAAAGGTTAAAAAATATTTTGCTGTTGTTTTCTAAATTTGGGTTTCTGGGGGTTAAAAAGCTAAATAAAACGTCGAGCTCCATCTTTAAGGTTCCTTCTGCCTTCTGCCCAGCGGTTCCACGGTTGCTAGGCGACGGAACGTTCGCCGAGGGAGTTCATGAAGGCTAGGCCTGTCCAAATTCACAGCCGTTAACATCCGGTCTACCCGGCCGACGGAGGACGCAGCCCACGTCGGCCGGGTGGGCTGGGTCCTTCGAAGGATGCAGACCCTGAATTGAGACACAGCCACTAATTTGAAGGTTCTGTGCTTTAACGGTTAATGACTTCTCTAACTCGCTGTGTCAAACATGGAGCGGATTTGGAAAATACAGCTGGAGGAGAGGAGGCTTTCTGAAGCATCACAACCAAAGCTGTCTGAGAGAATACCACTTCTTCTACGGTTTGGGCAGTAAAGATGTGTTTTAAAGTAACAGTAAGTAGTTTGCTGCTCCTCCACCCTACTGGTTGAAAGTGGAATAACAACTGTTGTGAAAAACTCTGTTGTAGCTGGCACTAACAACAAGCTAACACTAACACGAGCCAACTAATACTAAAATAAACCACGAGGTAAAACGATCCACACTGTTGGACAACAAAAGTTACAAGTCTATTGGCAACAAAGCCAGGTCACCATCAGTCTGTGATTTTTGCAGCCTCCTTTAACTCCTTCAAATTAGTGTAGGCCGCACCGATGTTCACTTTGGTTTTTGGTCTTTGCTTTGCCTCCAAAATCATTACTCTTTTACTTCTACTTCCAGGCTCCACCATGATGCCAACTGAAAAACCAACTTCTTCTTTTTCTTCTGCTTGCTCTTTTTATTGACGATGGGCACCCCTAGGACACCTACCTGCTCCACAAAACTATCAAGTGTGGTTTTTGGTCAGCAGAGGGCTGCAGAGTGGTGTTGAATATGAAACTGGTGAAGTTTCTAACTCAACAATGACTGAGACCAATGTTAAAGCTCTAGTTAAAGTTTTACAAACTATCTATTGTTACTTTAGACCAAATAAAATGCTGTTTTAACCAATCAAAAGCATGTTTAGTTCATGTACTAATCTACAAGATAAGGTGTGTTTTATAAGTATAAATGTGACACATCGAGATGCAAAACAGAAACATGTTTAAAATTGAAAATAATGAGTGATTCTTGCCTGACTTTAGACAAAAAAGAGGACAAATCATGAAACTTGACTAAATGCAGTGAGTGCTCAGACAGACTGACTCATGGAAACTTCTATAATACTTCCTTGGAGCTGTGAAGCCTGTTCTTGAACCCCACATGGAGGTGCAGTTATTCAGATGGTAAGTGCAAACACAAGGAACACTGAATGAATTTTGAGATAAAAAGCCATCTCTGATATAGATGTAGCAATACCACCTTTCAATGCAAGTTTATATTAAATTCCAAAAGCAGACAGGCAAACTGCCCTTTTATCCCAAGGTAGCACTAAAGTGTTTAAAATTGGGTTAAGGGGGAAATAGCCGTCATTTTCTGCGCTCAAAATGGAAGGTTTTGCCTAGGAAGAAATGATGTGGAAGCCAGGAAAAGAAACGCAATCCATCTCAGTGATGATAGAATTTCATAGGAAAAGCTTCAATGGAGCAATTCTCTCTTACCAAGTGCTACAACTTAGGAAGGTGATTGACCCTTTATTAAATCAAATGCTCTTGCATAGATGATAACTCCCACTTACAGCACCCTCACATCTGCAAGTGGTGTGAAAAGGTATCCTTCTGACCAAATCAAACCATTTCTCAAGGTGCCATTACTTCAAAGCTATTTTTTAAATTTTCTGTTATTGGAAAGGAGGGAAAAGGGCATTTCAAGTTGATTAAACATGTTTTTATATATTACATTTTTAACTAACTTCTTGTTTCTGCTTTTGTTCCCTAGACAAAACAGCATAATGCTTTCTGGAATATATTTAAGAGAATAGTGGGACTATTTATCGTGGGTTTACCCGAGACTCCAGGCTCTGAATCTTCTCCTCCAGTTCCTTGATTCTTTCCTCTTTCTTTTGAGACTCTGCTTGAGCCTCCTGCCGAGCACCAAACTCCTCATCAAACTGCAACAAAAGAGTCAACCATGTCTGTGTGCAGATAACAAAAAACATGTACACAGATGTAAACAGATGCACGCAGGTAGGTGAGCGGCAGCTTGTCTCCAGAAAGCGTCCAGAGGGCACATCAGCAGAAGCCAAAACATGCCGTCTTACACACTCTGGATGGCTTCTAACCATGGCCCTAAAGCCCTGTTGTCCTTTGTCTTTGTTTGGGGCTGAGTTTTCATGCATGTTGATGGATCTAACCTTTGCAGAAACCAAGCCATGTAGCAACAATGACTTCATCGGCCCAGCAGGGAGCACAGTGGAGCGGTGCGACTTGACTTAAGAGGAAAACATTCCCAGGACCCCTGTTGTTGTAAGACTAAGGTCAAAGTTTTGTATCTCTGCTCAATAAATCCTGATCTTAAAAAGATTATGTTAAAGGTAGGATTTCAATTTTGTATACTTTCATGCAGTCAAAAAATATATAAATAAACAAGGTCTCAAATATCTAGGAAGAAGGAAAACAGAGAGACCACCTTTAAATGTAGAACAGCATCAAAAGGTTGTGCACATAACTTAGCGTAGCTTGGCCCTGTGCACAAATAAGTATACATCAGAACATTGCCATTGATTCTTGTAATGCTGATACGGATCATGTAGCGTCACAGCCAGGTATTGATCAGGGCATGCAGAATCAATAGCTTGTCTGGGAGCTCTGGGGAAGAAAAAACTTTGCTGATGGGAGCTGGCTAACCAAAGAGGAGCTGTTGGAGTGATTAATGTCTTACCTTTTTGGAAAATTCTGCAGCCTTCTGCTCACTCTCTTCAACTTTGGCTTTGTCCACACACTGATCTGAAAGACAAGGCTGGCATGATCACTAGATGCTGCTTCAAAGGTTTTTAGGTTGGACTGGATCATTATTTTTAAAAGTCCTAAATCTTGTTTTCAAAACATATCTGAGAACGTTTGATTTCATTTCTACAGCGGACCACTTGTTAGGTCTTCAGAAAGTCTTGTTTGTGTGTCAGGGGTGTCTTTTATTACAAATGCCCAGCATGTTTCAAAAGAAACGGCACTTCAGCGCCTCCCATGGGTCTCATTTTAAACCCAGCTTTTCAAGTTCATCACATTGACTATTTAATGTATCAATCTGCACCCTGGACAGTTCCTCTAGCTGTTAGCCTGCATGTCCAACAGAGACGTAGGACTAATTACTTATTGACAATAAAATAACAAACATAATTCCATATGCAGCACAATTAATTATCATAATTTATTTATTAAAACCACAAGGAGATTTGAGATTTCATTAAGTCTTAACTGTTTAGGATGCCCAGAATCTTGTTATTGACACATTCATCATCTAATCAGAGAAATCTCTAAAAATAAATGAAGCATGTAATTGTAGTAGGGCTGGGCGATATGGCCTAAAATCAATATCACGATATATTGAGGATTTCACCTCGATAACAATAAATGGACGATAACTACAGGTACGCACAGAAACAAAAGTTATCCACTAGATGGGGCTGTCACATGTATCATGCTGAGTCACATTTTTATATGACTCAAGGTGGTATAGCTTCTTAAAGGGACATGAACGTTGCCAACCTACAAACATATTTTCATTTTGTTATTATCAAGTGTGTCGACATGGGAATTTTTTTCGATGAGTCAGACATTTCGATAAAGATATATTTTCGATGTATTGCCCAGCCCTAAAATGTAGTAGCCTGGTCTGCCAGACTCCTTCTCTGTTTAATTCTGCACAGAGAAAGGGTCTGGGAACTCTCCTATTCAAATAGCCCCACCCCCTGAGAATTCTAACCGAGCCAATCAGCGCTGAGTAGCGTACGTCACACACCATAACACCGAGTTAGTCATAAACACAGCGACTGAAGAGGAGTTCGCTGCGGCTCTTTCCTCTGTTCTGAATGACTTGAATGTCTTACAACCACAACAAGTAGAAGCACTAAAAGCCTTTCTCCTAAAAAAAAAAAAAAGATGTTTGTGCCGTTGCCAGACTCTTTCTTTTACTACAGCTAAAAAACTACAGCATTGCGCAGTACAGTCGGCATTTCCGTCTTTTTTCTGATTGGTTATTTTTGAGCTGCCTAGTCCCGCCCCTCATGTGCTTCTCTGCCTGTGAGTTACCAGACTCTTTCTCTGTGCAGAATTAAACAGAGGACGAGTCTGGCAGGCCAGGCTAAAATTGTAACATCTGCTGATTAAAGGCACAAGTCTGAAATCAGAAAGAGCAAAAGATAAATTTGAAAACCAAAAACGTTTTGATTTACTATTTCATTATTCTTAGCTCATGCTTCTTAACTGATCTGTGTGCTAAATGTTGATTCAAAACAGTAGAAATTGCTATATTTGCACGCATCTTATTGAATTGTTTTTGGGTTTGTTAGTTTTTTACACTTTAAATTTCTATCGATTCATATGTGATAGATGTGTGATAGACAGACACAGACCAGACAAAACTGGAAGTTTTTTAACTTTCATGTGGTACTATTTTACCATTTTTTAAAACAAAGTTTGACACTTTGATCAAAAATCGGTGCAGAGCACTTTCAGGTGTTTGATTCATCTATATTTTCTTTTATCCTTTTATGGGTTTTTGGTGGGAAGACCCACTCACAAAAGCTATCTAAAAGGTATTTGATTTCTTACAGTCTTTCAGTTGTAGGTATCAACCACAGAATTAGCAAAGCTGCTAAATGAGATAAGATTTTCTTTTTAAAGACCAAGGGGAAATATTTATAGCATTCGGTTCAGAATTAATTGTTTGGCCAGTGTGCTAAGGGAACGTGCTTTATGCTGTTTGTGGTTACAGTTTTAAATTTCCGGTAGGGATCCTGTTTATCCATGCTCAATGTTTATCCGATGTCATCCTGAAGTGGCATTTATTAGATGATCTCACAACAGAAGTTAAAATGACTGTGAAAAGTAAAGAATAAAAAAAGACAAAAAAAAGTTGTGTTGTTTGTGAACCTTTGTGACTCCTTTCTGTATTATTTTCCTTTTTTTGTTAAATATTAGTAAAGAAAGAGAAAATTATGATAGAATCAGTTGTCGGTGGATATTAGGGATACTCGATATTGGCATTTTAACCGATAACCAATATCCGATACTGTCTAATTCTTAATTTCCTATATCGATATAAACCAATACCATTATATTTGGGGTCCCCCGTGTTTAATTGACTCCGACAGCAGCTGAATGGCATTCTCCCTGAGGTAATCCTGACTAACCCTCTGTGAGGCATTTGGGCCAAAGATAATTAATAAGTTCATGATGGAAAATGTTTGATTAATAAGTTAATAAATAGCACAAGTGAATTAATGATAAAAAGGTTAACAGGTTTTAGGTTTAGAAAACGGATCAAAGTGAGACATCACTATTACAATCTTTGTTATAATGTTGGTGCAAAATGACAGAGTGAGTGCTCTCAACTCAAACATATCGGACGCAGTGTCTGTTTCGTCCGCTGGATCTCCGCTCCGTGTGATTAGATGTTACATTTTGGCAAAATAAGAGAGTAAATAGTTCATGAACAAGCTGAATTTTCTTTACACATTCGTACCTTGGAGAACATTTGTCTTGGTAAGTATTGGTTTATTTAGGGAATGTTTGCGTGGTTACGGTGATAAAACATTTATAAAGATCTTCATTTAAGAAAAGAAAACTTTGGCTGAAGATTCTTGTGTTAGTTTTAGTTTGTTGTTTGTTGCTACATGCAGTTGGGGACAGAAGATCCTCTAAACACAGGGCAAATTCCTAATTTTTCAAAAGTTGTGCCAAATAAAACCAAAATATCTCAAAAATTAAACCTCAGCCGTTTTTTTCCCGATGTTACATTTTAAGGCCAATATTGAGTAGACGGGTAATATCGGATATCTCTAGTGGGTATGTTTTTAAATAAAACATAATGGGATATTATTAGGGGTGCACCATTCTATCGACCCCGATGTCGGATTTTTTTCGAGATGGGTGAACAGCCAAAAACTGCAAGGCAAACAACGATTCTTCATCTATAAAGCAAATGTTGAAAACTACAATAATGAACTGACTCAGTCTTTTTTTTTAGTTGTTCACCTATATTTAAAAAGATGAAGAGTAAGAATCTAAAGATAATTTCCACATAAAACAGTTGTTTCTATAATTGCTGATATGTTTAATTTTTCACAAATACTAACTACCTTGTGTTCCATAATAAGTAGCAGTTTGACGTTACCAATAAGTTGGCTGAAGTCCACATCCAGTCTTTTACTGTAGCCAAAGTCGGGGTCCATCCCACTGCGATGCAGAACCACCTGGGCCACACATTCCTCTATCACCTTGTAGTACTGAGGCCTGTGGGGTCAGGAAACAAAGCAGAACAATTAGAAGAGAAAGATCTGACTGACACAATACCTACAAGGCTAATTAACTACAAATGCTTCTCTTATCCAAGCTAGAGGTCACAAAATGCCATGTCAGAAAGGGTGCTGCTGGAGAAAATAGGTACCCCATTAAATTTGATCACTTGCTTCACCCCGATCATGAAATTAGCAGATTAACAGTTACACAGAGCCCAAGCATGTGATTGTCTGTCCAATTCAAGGTGACTGACGGTAGTCAAGGCTACGCTTGCCCTCTTGCATAATTAGCAATCTTCTGTGCCAATTAGAGCAACCATAAAACTGAAACGTAAATCTAATCAGTGTAATGTGTGTAATTGAAAGCACAATGACCAGGAAAACATGTCAGCCAGTTAGGAGTGTGACTGAGTGCTGGCCGTTGTCACACAAGGTGTGTGAATCAGCCTGAGTCCACCACCACCTCGCAGGTTGGTATGTGACCTTTTCTGAGTAACATTATCAAGTTTAATTGCAAGTGACATTTAGCAAATACAATGGCATCTTAAGCTGAGCTCCAAGCTGAGAAGTAATTATTTTCCAACGAAGAAACAGGACAGTTTGATGTTTAAATTTAAATCAGAATCCACTATGTTGTTGCATTTAGGCTCAATTTCTTTACAATATTAATTTAATACTAGATGTTTAAAAACTAGATGCCAACCGGCCTCAGCCTATCTGCACCAAACTCCTTAATATGTAAAGAAAAAAAAGAAGAAAAAAATATCCAGTGTATGCGCTGTCATCAACAGGGAATGGTAAATGGTAAATGGCCTGTATTTGATATAGCGCCTTCTAGAGTCCTGGAACCCCCCAAGGCGCTTTACAACACAATCAGTCATTCACCCATTCACACACACATTCACACGCTGGTGGGGATGAGCTACAATGTAGCCACAGCTGCCCTGGGGCGCACTGACAGAGGCGAGGCTGCCGAGCACTGGCGCCACCGGTCCCTCCGACCACCACCAGCAGGCAATGTGGGTTAAGTGTCTTGCCCAAGGACACAACAACAGCGACAGACTGAGCGGGTCTCGAACCTGCGACCTTCCGATTGCGAGGCGAGCACTTAACTCCTGTGCCACCGTCGCCCCATTCTGATGGGGGACGGTGGCACAGTTCCTTGGGAACTGATGATGTCCTATCAAAATTACATACAAAATGACATTTGTGGATGCTTTGTTGTGACTTTGGTGTAAACTGCTTTTAAGGCAACACTAAAGAGTTTTCAACAATTTAAATTCTCCTTTAAAGTGTGTTTCAGTGAATTTGTGGGTAGAAACTTTGCCAACTTTACATTGTACATAAGTCTGCAGCTCTCTGCCGACCAGAAACCGCACTTAACAGTTATGTGGGATGAGGTTGGTGTACTAGGGGGAGCTCCACTTTACAGCTGTTAGCTGTTTACTGTGCTGATAGAAAATGTAAATGTTAGCAGTTAGCATTTTCACTTTGTCGACCATCAATAAAAAGCACCAAAAGAAGAAATTAGCTTTTTTGTTAGCATCATCACAAGGTCTGGAAGTAAAAGTAAGAGAGGAATGTCTTTGGAGGCGGAGCAAAGAGCTAAAACCAGAGTGAACATCAGCGTGGCCTACACACGTTTAGGGGAGTTAGAGTAGGCTACAAAATCATGGACTGATGGTGACCTGGCTTTGTTGCTACTGGACTTGCAAGTAATAACTTTTGCTGTTCAACAGTGTGGATCTTTTAACTTTGTGGTTTATTTAGGATTAGTTGGCTCATGTTAGTGTTAGCTCGTTGTTAGCTCTAGCTACAGCAGGGTTGTTTTTTGACAATTGCTGTTCCACTTTCAAACAGTAGAGAGTCGCTTTAAGTGTGTATAACTAATTCTGTTACACACTTTAACATCTAAAATGCTGAATTATCACAGAATACATACATCAGAATCCAGAACAAAACAAATATGATCAAATATGATTTCTTTGTGGAGAGCAGTTTCAAGTGGTAACAAAATGAAATCTTAGCTCCTCGATATGCTACCATGCACAGTGACCGATTATGATACCCTAATATGCATAAATGCTGCTTCTATTTTAGAGACAAGCTATGTTTTACCAAATGCCTGATGTGATGTTTAATGTTGCAAAAAGAAGATAAAAGCAAGATCAAAAGATCAACCTAACCAAGTTGGGTAAAAATGCAAGAGGTAAATATGTTTAGCCTCTCTGGATGGTACTATTGATTTGCAGAGGAATAAAGAAGTAAAAATCAGAGCAGCCCAACAGCCCAGGGTTTTAAGACAAGTTTGATTAGATAAGGAACTCATTTGGATCAAAGCTTGGCTGCTTGACAGCTCTGCAAAAAAACACTGAGCGAGGGGGAGCGTTACTGCCGCTAAAATGTGATAATTGATTATAGCAGGCAGAACTGTGAACAAAGCCTCCACTGCCAGGTGGGTTCATTTTGTCCAAAAAACACCAGAAATGCGCACAAACAAAATATGTCTGAGAGAAACTGGGAACACAGTGGCACTTTGTTTCCATCAAACATGGAATGGAACAAAGTTAATATCGCCCATTTTAATTCCAAGTGTTAACTTCAAAGTCTATTTTCCTCATGATACCATGTGGGTGGACAGGCCACACATCATGTTGTGAGCAGAAATTTTAAATAGTAAACCAAAGTAAATAAGAATAAATCAGCGTTTAGGTCTGCTGTTTTGAAAGCATGAAACGCCGTGTGCTAAGCTTGAGCTGGTAGATGCGCCCACTCATGACTGGCACAAGCTGGTGAAAGCTCATACATCACCCCACATGGCTTAGGCACAGTGGCACTCGGCTTACAACTGTCACAAATGCACACCACATTACTATCTCAATAAGCCACCCTATTTTCCCTCCGTCCTCTATCCTCCACTGCCACCGCCACCAAGCAAATAGAGACTGGGTGAAGATAACTGGAGACAGAGAGAGTGACCCAGAACTGTCAGACCTTCCACAGTGGGCAGGGCCGGGCTCCCGGAGCGAGCGCACGTCCCTAGCATCATCCCCAACCCCTTATTTTACTTTGGCACCTTCATTTTTTTTTTCAGTGATAGCTTGTGGTTCATTACAGCCCCAGCCACTTGATCCAGCTCTGCTCCACATAACCAGTGTAATCCCCATATCACTGGGCTCCAAAAGAGCAGATCTGCTCCATATTTACTGGGTGGGTTTGATGTGGTCCCATTCATTAGACTTGCAAGGAGAGATTAATTATCAAAATAAGCCCAGCCCTGGAGGGAAGAAAAGCAAAACAACTAATGTTCTGTTAGGAGGAAAATGCGGTCACCAACTGTAGACTGACTTGAGAACAATAAACATATTTAATGACGGGTTGTTTAATAATAGTATTTGACACAATTATAAAGTATCAAATATTCTCATTTTCTTTTTGCATATAAAACACTGACAAGGTCTTTTATTCTAAGACATCACACCTGCATTTCTGCTCCAAGCTGCAATTTTACCTCCTTCCAATCAAACACTTAACTCCAACCTTTATTTCACACTGGAAACATCAGCGGCGCGGATTGTCATTGGAGTGTCGTACGCGTGAGCTTCAATGTGGTCCATTACACACCGGAAGAGTCTTGGCCACGGAACAGATTCCTCGCAGGACTTGAAAGATCACAAAATCCCTCGATACTTCTTCCATCCTCCTTGCTTGACTCGAGAGATCACAAGATCCCTCGAGACTTCAAAGGTCATGGTTTGTTTATGCGATCGCCAATAAACCAAAAAAATAAAGGAAATCACGTTTGATATCGCTGTTTGATGTCATTTATGATGTTGTTCTTTTCCACTGCAAGGAATAAAGCCATAAAAAACACACCGCTTAACTTCTCGAATGATACAGCGAGTAGCTAAGCTGTTAGATCACATATGAGCGACATATATTTGAAATGGCATCGCTGCAGTACTCTTATTTTGAAAATTACCAAGAATTTTACACTGAAAAAGTGTGTCATTTCCTGTCTAGCCCGATGTTAACTGTGGAAATTGACGTGTCCAAGGAGCGGCTCGCGGCAAAAAAAGAATCCGAACCTATCTTTAGCGGTACATGTGCCGCTTCTGGGACATACCAGAGAATGACCACATTGCCACTGGTTTGAAGCAGCGCCATTCCGCTGCCGTTCTGTGCCGCTGATGCTGTCAGTGTGAAACGGGTAACGCTGCATTAACCCTCTCAGGCTCAAAATAAGTTTTGATAAAAGGATGAACAACTAAGTCCTTCAGGGGTACTTCTGAGTTAAAAAATGCTCATGAAATACGTGTGTGGAGTAACCAGGTAGGTAGGTTTTAACGTTGCAAATCTGCAACGCCTGCCTCCAGAGGGTTAAAGGAAATACTTCAAAAAGTATGGAACACTGAAAAAAAATTTTTTTTTTCATTATTATTTCCGATTATAATCAGAGTTTTTCATGCAGACTGAACTCAAAAACAGTCTCCTACACCTATGTCCTGCATTAGCTTCTGATATAAAATGGACAATGAAACGCTTGGATATGAACAGATCTCATTCACACTGTCACCTGACATTCATGGATTCACCCATCTTGACTCACGTCAGGGAAGACTGTTGTTGTTTTAATGTCCAGACAACAGGTGAGAACATCTCAGTTAGTCAAAGCTAACTGTTAGCATTAGTAATCAGTGGTAGAGTCACATTCCTGTTATCTAATCCAAAGTGCGATGTCCCCATATCATGAAATAAAACTCCAAATCCTGCCGTCTGAAGCTATCCTCTGATGTACCAACGTTTTATGTTCTGAAACACGTGCACCAGAGCTTTTTTCCCACCAGCGTACGACTCATAAGGCATTAACTCATTCACTGCCAATGACGACTAAAGTCGTCATTTACATTGTTTTACTGTGCGGGCGTCGGAACGAGCCCCCGCACCGTGTGAACAAACATCTCAGCTCTAAAGCTGATCTTCATCCGCATATGACACACGTCACGTGATCAGGAAGCAGAAAATCCATGTGTTAGGAGATCGTTTTGGGCCGCTGCTGTAAAAAAAAGTGAGGCGCAAACCGGAAAAGCTTCTGCCGATCACAATTCGACAACGGATTATGAAAGCACGGATAACGTGCGGATTCTTCCTGATGTAAGAGGTGAGTCTACACTTTCTTTTGGTAGTTTTGGCGTCAACATCATCCTAGTGCGCAACGTTCTGTGACTCTTAAAAAAACAGTAAAAATGCTGAGAAACGCTGGCAGCGAAGGGCTTTTCTGATCAGAAAATGGCTAGCAGTGAATGAGTTGATTCCTACTAGAGACCACAACAAATGTATTGATTAAAAGAGTGTTCCACACCTTTAAAAAGACAGTAAATCCTGAAATGCTGCAGTACATCATCATCCACAATCATAACTCCACAACTGTGATGTATGAGGAAGAAAGAGTTTACGCCATAAGCTGCGTAACATTTGTGTGATTTTTACCTGCTTTTGATAAAAACATGCTGAAAAAAAAAGGGAAATATCAAAAGCATATCTTTCAAAGAACATTTGTCTTTTCTGTGAACGCTGCAGCTGCAGAGGTATACGTGGAACACTGGTGCTGAGGTGGACATGATGATACTGGATAGTTAATGGGAATTCTATTTCTCACTTCCTCCAAGTAGATGAGGAATACATAATTCATACATCCAAGGGAACAGCAACTTGTCTCTGGTAAATTCATCTACCTCCTTCTAGCTTCACTTTATCTTCAAACTTTCTTTTTTGTCTTCTCCCCAGAGGATAGAAAAATAAGAAAAAGTTGTGAACCAGGCTGGAAGTAATCAGAAGCACATGATTTGGAATAGTTGACTTACTAAGTTTTTACTTTAAAATATTTTAATTTTACTAAACAACCTGTCTGCAGTCATTGATCCACAGCTAATGATTATTCATAACGGTTTTAGATGCTATTTCTGCTGTTTGCTCCCTCAAAGCAAAGAATACAGCTATCATTCACCCAGTGAATGGTTTGGACTGAGGTTCAACAAACTGAATTTAACCTACAGAAATCAGTGATGCAGCGCTTCCATCAAAGATGATGACCCACATCATAGTAGGCGCAATTCTGGCATTAAAGGTGCGGTTTACTCATTTATTCAATACACTTGCAGTGTTCTTTAGTGTGCATCAACGCCTTTTGAGTAAAAAAGGCTATGATGCTCCTGTTCTGATATGCAGAAGTTTGCTGGTGGGCTGAAAACGGCTGGATTACTCATTAATAATGATATGCATGCATTGACTGGCTTGCAGAACGCGTTTTTAAAAAAGCCCTCCGTGTGCAGGAGCGAGCCAAGATGGGCGAGGCCATGAATGCAAATTCACAGTGAGACATTGACCTGTCAGGATTTTCAAATCCTTGCGTATCACCATCTATTTTCTAACAGAAGCTAATGCAGATCGGTGTAGAAGATTGTTTTAGCCTGCATGAAAAACTCAGACTGACCGATTATAATCAGAAATAATAATTAAATGTGTTTTCTCAGTCAATCACACCTTTAAAAAGCATCAAAGACCTACAGATGAAACTCAAAAAGTTAGAATATGGTACAAAGTAATTCAGCTTAGACTGAGAGACCATCTAAAGGCTCAGAAACCCCTCACAGGTATTTTGGATAAATTTGCTGATTAGAGTGTGACACCTTGAGTCTAGAATATTGAACTTTTTTCACAATATTCTAAAATATGCAGGATTTAAAACAATCCTATAGGAAATATTATACATTAAGGAGCATTGTAAATTCTCACCCAGATGGCTGTGATTAAAACACACTAAAAGGTCAGGTTCGTCCAGCTTAGAGTCTATGGCCACTTGGATATGATTCAGCCCCACCTGACCCTGAGTTTCCGCCTCTCACAGCTAGTAGATTTTCTTTAAAAACTTTCCTTCCCAGTCAGTTTATTTCTTAGCTGCAGCTGATTCAAATCGCCCAACTCAACCAAATTTTCTCCTTAAAGATTACAGACACTGTCCATTATAACACCTGAAAGTTATGTTTAAACCGTATTTTGCACAATGCTTTTGCAAAGATGTCTCCTGTTTAGACAAGATTTAAACATGGCAAAAATATTTCACTAGACATCGGTGAAAGATCCATCAACAGACATCAGGAAAAACCAGCTCTATGAGTAAAATCAAAATGTGTGAGTGGTAATTGTATCTTAGAAAAAACAAAGAAGTCTCATGGCTATAGGGATGTGCAGAGAGCAGCTCTGGCATCAGTCAATACAAGGGCAGCAGCGTGTAAAATAACAAACAGAACTTACCTGATGTAATAGTCATTCCTGATAAGCAATAGGTGCTGCAGGATTGACAGAAAATAGGGCTCCGAGGCAGTGTCTTTCACCATATTTGACAGGAGATGGTACACCTCGCTCATATCAGTGAAGCAGCAAGGTTAAGGAAAACAACTTTTTCACAGACTTGCATTTGTGTTTATTTACTCTTTTTTTCAGTCAGATCACTATCAGGACTAACTTATTCAGAAGACATCCAGTCTGACAACATTATTCAACTGCAGTAAACATTCAATGTTTTATTGCATTTTATTTTTATTGGAACTATTTCTTTTCCCCACTTTCTTTAACTCGGTTTATCTGACAGGCATCATTGTGCAAAAGTCAACAGAGAAATAATTCCTCTTATCCGGTGTCTCTCGGGGGAGCCATGACAGTGTAAACAGCCAAGTTGAAAAGGAGGACTGGTATTGAAGATTGCTCCCACAGGTTCACCTGTCATATCAGACGTTTAAAAAAAGAAAGCCGAAGCTAATTACATGAAAAAAATAATAATAATAACACTGAATGCTTTAAGGTTTGAATCCAAAAATCACGTGGATGTGAAATTTCACTGGGGGAAAAATAGAGCTGAGGTCAATTCCCAACATAGAAACGGGTACTAATGCAGCGGCACAAAGGTATGTTATTACATTTGCAAAAAGCTATTGATTATGCGTCTTGGGTTTGCTTTCTCCATCAAGAAATAATGACACATTTGACATTTAACGCAGCTGTTAAATCAAACAAACTTTTTGTTTTTTGTGTTTAAATCTAAAGCGCAATATTTCTTTAGTGTTTGCAAAGCATCTATTTTCAAGAAAGTATGTGATTCCACTTGATGAAAGGAATAAATGAAAATCCAGTGTATTAACATTACAGACTCTAAAGCTGTGCACAAGCTATTTAACACACAGAACAAGCCGAGACGGGCACTAACATTACAAACTACAGTTTTTATGCTAATAGTGTAGATTAACATAAAAATCTAGTTAGCAAATATTAAATTTGTTTTTCTCAAACATTTCAGCAAAGAACTGAGAAAACTGGATGAGTTACAGTCTGATTTGTTTTCTTGGAGGACTTTTCCTACAGAAGCTGATCACGTCTGGAGAAGTGAGCGGGCCTCTCGTTTGTGCACCTATGCAGATAAAACCTAGAGTGAGGAGAGCGTGCCCTGTTTTCCATTTTTTGGTTCTTTTTTACACACAGATAAGGTTTTTTCTTTACCATTTTGCTTGCAGAAATGGAAACCTGAATGCCATCCTAACATAAATCGCTGAACTTGACAGCCCGTGTTAAAATATTCACAGAGAGCAAGTTCAATGGCATCAGATGACACCAGCGACACCGTGGCACCGTGTGAGGAGATCCCCCTCTCTCTTCTGCATGTGATACAGGGTATGTATCAGGTAGATGGAGCAGAAATCCGTTTAATCATCTTTGGGTCGTTATACTGTATAACAACTAAAAAGATCAATGCTTTTAAATACCAGTTCACTCTTCTGATTAATTTCAACAAAATATTTTATTAAACTGCTATTCAGTTCTTTTTTTTAGGGGATAGGAATTAAAGCTCCTCTAAAGTACCATTCCTCGTCTTTGCATTATCAGCATATGAAGTCTGGAAGAATTACCAATCCAGTGAGATTCAATTATAACCTCACCACGGCCCAGTTTCAAAGGCAAGAGAAGGAGCTTACAGTGGGAAAAAAAAGAGCACAGACGGCTCCATCTATCACTAAACTGTGGACAAAACCAAATGTAGAACACCGATCTATTCAATCGTAGCTCTTTTTCTTCACTCTTAGTCTCTTTCTGCCTCTTTAACCTCCCTTCCCAAATAATGAATAAACATGAGCGGCAGTCAAGTGTGATGTAGGCCAGTCAGTGGTGGGGTCAATCAATCACCATTCCAGGAGTTCATTAATATTCATTAGGGTCCTGGAGTCATCTTCTCGGCACCTGGGTCCAGGGCCGGACACAGAGGAGAAAAGTCTCTTCAGGTTAATATTTATGAAACCGCCAGGAGAAACAAGACACATGTGCAATGCTCGGGTGGTAGAAGTTTTACCTGCAAGATAACATGTATGCATGCAGGTGTGTGCGTGTGCGTGTGTGTGTGTGTGTGTGTGTGTGTGTGTGTGTGTGTGTGTGTGTGTGTGTGCAGACACTATGCAAACAAAAGGACAAAGGGTAACCTAGGCATTCCAATCATGCCCATACCTCTCAGATCAATACAGCATTGTCCTTGGAAGCAAACATTAAGCCTTCTCATTTGTGAACCTGCTCAAGCACATCATTAATCCAGGTACACCTTTTTTCCTCCTCCCTCTCTCGCTTGTCTCCAGACACACACATATACCTCCTCCTCCCCTCACTTACATGTGTCAACAGAGACTGTCACTCACGGTGGCACTTTTGTGCCTTTACAAGAACTGCGGGATACGGTGGAAGAAAAAGGTTGCAGGAAAGAACATCTGCATAACAATGTCAGTGTGTCTGGTTTGTCTGCTCACCGTGTCAGCTATTCAGACATGGCCTTAGAGAAGATTTGTGAATTATTAAAGAATTCTTCTAGGATGCTTGAAAAAGTTTCCCATTCAGGACTAAATTACTGCACCTTCTCTTAAATTGTACTCTTGACTGTTTGGAGCCAGGTTTCATGGTAGGATAGGAATATACTTAATTTAGTTTCTTAAATGTAAAGGGTAATTTACAATAACTTTTGACATACCAATGTAGAACCATGTATATTACTTTTTACATTTAAAGAGCAAGTCACACCCTAGCAGAGTCTTAAGCCGGGCGTACACTGTGCGACTTTTTCACTTTTTTGAGCCGATTTTCCAGTCGTGCGAGAATCCACGACATCGGGGCGAGTTTTGCGCCGAGCGGTCGTGTAGTGTACAGGGGGTTATGAGAGGCGATTAACACCACGTGACCAGCTGCCGATCAGCAGTCGTGAGGTCGCAGGGACTTCTGGTGTGTTTAATATTTCGCTCGTCCCTCGTGAGGGTATCGCACTGTTGAAGCAGCGCTGCGAGCAGCTGCGACCCAAAAAGTATCAGAACCGCTCACGGCGCATGCGCGCGCAATCCTGCATCAATGCCGCTCGCTCGCTATTTCCCTAATAACACACGTTGTTCGTTTTTGTTTCTACACGTTTTTTTTTTACTCACAAAGATTGTCAAGAAAGCGTGTTTGTCGTGTTCATGTCAAATTAAACTGATCACAAAACACAGATTTACTTTATTTCGTTTTCCTCATCCAACCCCCATAAATCCCTGTGTGTCCTCCTGCAGCACTCCCGAAGGACAACAGGCAAGACAAAAAAGTCTGACGTGTTGAGTAAAAACTGCTATTTTTAGCACATTTTTAGGGCTGACGTGTTGTTACCAGACGTACAGTGTGAGCAGTCAGGTCGCATGCGAGAACTGGGTCATACAGTGTGAGCACACGACTCGTGAGATCTGCTCTGCGAGGAAGTCGTACAGTTTGAGCTGAAGCTGAACGCTGCGAGTGAAAAAGTCGCACAGTGTACGCCCGGCTTTACTCCACTCCCACTTCATGTTTGAAAAATGCAACAAATGCTATTGTCTGGCAGACCAAGAGGGAGAGCCGCTAACAAATACACACACACACACACACACACACACACACACACACACACACACACACACACACACACACACACACACACACACACACACACACACACACACACAGGCTCACAACAACATTGTGACATCATAATGTACCAGCTAACTTCATAGTGTACCTCTTAGCCAATAGCGATGGCAGATTTAAATCCAAATGCAGTGCAGACTTTTTACACTTTTAGGCAGAATATCTAAATTTGAGCAAAGATTAAATAAAGTGCCTAATTATTGACTACATGTGTCTACAGCACGATTAGACACACATTTATATGGTTTATCAGTATTAAAAAGTTGATTTATGAGTGACTTGCTCTTTAAAGGTACATGAAGTAAGAATGACACCCAGTGGTTAAATGTGGGTACTACAGTCCACGTATCAAAACAAACAAGTCTGCTCTGAGCAACTGTTTCACATTACAGATCAGCACCAGAAAATTTTAGATGATGAGTGAAGATGAGTCATTCACAGTAAATCGATAAGTAAGGAAATATATTTCACTGTAATATCGAGTTGTTGGTAACTGAAAAAAGTAGCTTGTGATTTTTGTATAGCCGACTATTTGTACTGAATAATCTCTTAGCACTGTTATCTCAATGTTACCCACTAGCCGTCTTGCCCGATATTGGAGTGAAACAAGAATGATGTTGTAGCTTTTCAGGGGTACGAGGAAAAACTTCTGGGTCGCTCCTGTGTACTGGTTAATATTCTGTCTATGACATTGCTCTTTGCTGGCTGGTATTGACTTAAAAGTGCAGTGTTTGCCTGCTCAGACTTGGCAGCCATGTTTGCTCAGGTATTATTGGCTCTGGAACCAGGAAGTCTTTTGCTTTTCAAAAGAGAAAAAAACTGACAACCTCCAAGCTGACTGAGAATGAATTCTGATTCGATGTAACTTTCCTTCCAACATGATTGAGACATTAGACCAGGGGTCCTCAACTAAATTTGTTTAAGGGAGAGAGTATTTTTTCTAGCAGATACAATGGGGCCAGATGCTCTTCTAAAATAAAGTTAAAATATTAACATATCTTAATTTATCAATATTTAAAATGACTTTGTTTTCCATCTAAACTGTTTTGATTGTAGTTTTAATTGTGTTTGGAGAACATAAGCAACTATTGATAATTGGTCCATGAATTTGCTGCTAAACTTCAAAGTCCCCCAATTGGGGGGTGTATGGGCCTATGAGGGGCCCGGGTGGAAAGGTCTGGTGGGCCTGATGTGACCCACGGGCCACCAGTTGAATTTCACTGCATTAGACTCTTTTGCGATTATTTCACTGTAGAGCTCTTACATTTTGTACCTTTAAGCCACTAGATTCAACGGAACCAGTTGGCATAACCTGATGAGCCTGACCAGCCAGCCCCATGCTTCCTTATGGGAAGCATTGGGGCTGGGAGCTCTTCTATTCACATAACTCCACCCCCTGAGAATTCTAACCAAGCCAATCAGCAATGAGCAGCAAACGTCACACACGGCGATGCTCAGTTTCTCATAAACAACGAATATGTCATCTGAAGCTGAGTTCGCTGCGGCTCTTTCCTCTGTTCTAAATAACTTGAACATGTCTTTAGAACTACAACAAGTAGAAGCGCTAAAAGCCTTTCTTCTAGAGAAAGATGTCTGTGCTGTCGCCAGACGCCATTTTTGACTATAGCTAAAAAACGACAGATAAAAAAAACGACAGCGTTGCGCGGTACAGTCGTCATGTCCGCCTTTTTTCTGATTGTTTATTTTTGGGCTGGCTAGTCCTGCCGCTCATGTGCCTCTCTGCCTGTGAGTAACCAGACTAGTTCTCTGTGTAGAAGAGGACGAGTCTGGCAGGCCAGACTTGATGGAGTAAATTAATCAGTTTATTTTGTTAGAGTGTAGTACAAAAAAAGGTGAGAATTTCACTAAACATCTTAAGTATTAATAAACCAAAACTAACAAAGTATAAAGAAGTAAAAGTGAGGAGGAGTAGAGTAAATACAAAAAGACTGGAGAGGTCAAAGGTTAAGATAACAGGGTTATTTACCAAGTATACCTGGCCAGGGATGGAGCTGGATATTGTGCTTTGACTCATCTAATCCATCTCTAATGAACAAAGCCAAGAAGGGGATTTATCCTGTAAAGCTTGACCAAACCCACAATATACACTTGTGGCTTCAGGTCTGCCGGCCTGTACACCAGACCTCTGTATATTCACACACACAGAGGACAAAAGGATATTCCATCTCGGCGCGGATGTCTTCCAGGCGATGGGAGAGTTCGATAGCATCTTCCTCCTTGTTCTCATTAAACACCCTCAGCTGGATGTCGAGCTCCTCCGTCTCTTTTATCTCCTAAAATTAGTTGAAACAAACTGATGTTACAAGGGTTCACAGTGCAGTGCATGTTAAAAAAAACAGGAAAGTGATAAGCAGCTTGTAACTATTCCCTACTTTAGCTGTTGCCTTCCAAAACTTTGGTGGTATTATTGACTAATTATGCCCCGAGAAAGTTATAGCTAGAGAATACAGAAAAATGAAAGCAACAATATCCTGAACCCTTCCACCAAGCGATTCAGACAATATCAATTCCTGCACACCTGTTCGAGCCACAAGGGGCTACAGGGGTGCTCCTCACCCCTTCTCAATGAATCACTGGCAGGGAAGTTTACACACTGAGACAAGGCCAAATGTAACCCAATTTCTGTAGGTATCAATCACCTGGCGCTGCTTTTTGGGTGCACCATCTGTCTCCAGCAGGCAGCCACAATGGCACAAAAATGGGGGAAGGAAGCAGGAGAGGAAGAGAGCCAACTACCTGCATCAAGGACTATCAGAACAAAATAAACTGTGCTTTCTTTTCCAGTGGACCTCACTATTTCTTTGCCAACGGCTGCACACAGACTTGCGCCACACTTCTCAGCATAACTCATAATTAGATGAAGGAGTGTCACACAGAATGTGGGCAATAAAAGTGGTAAATGCGGGACTCATAAATGAGTGTACATGGAGGTCCTTTCAAATCAGGGGGCAGAATTGAAGATAATTAAAGTAATGACCGTAAAAATCAACAGAAGCAGCTGGGATGACTTATTAACAACTGGCTCTGTGACACGCTCACCCCACTCGCAACAAATGAGAGTTTGAGTGATGAGCTGGAGCTCGCCTCGCCTTGGGCTCATGTGAAGGTGTGTACAGCGAGGTTGCTGATAATGATGCCTGTGTGCGGAGGTGCGAGCCCTGCATTGCACTCTTGCAACAAGTTCCTGCTACTACAGATCAAACTAACTGTGGCAGCTCTCTCCTTTGAGCATTTACATCAAAATCACCTTGAGTTTCTTTTTAAAACTGGTACAACTGATGAATTTTGCTATCAAATCATGTTGTTTGGGTTAGCTTGTAAATGTGATTAGGAATTGTTTCCTAATCACATTTACATTTCAAAATGCTTTTAGACAAAACAACTCATAACAAAACGAAAAAATGTGAATGATGCAGCTTAAGTAAGGGACATCAACGTTTCCCTAATTTAACTCAGACTTTACTGACACATTGCACATAAAGTTAATATTGAGGTCATCCAGTGGGAATGAATTCCCTGTGGTCTGTGTTCTCTAATAAACTCACAGGAAGGATCTTCTTTAGGCCACATCTTAAAAACTCGTTGCGCAGATGTATCCGGAAGTCCAGGTCATCAGGGGAGGTGACAAGAGCGTTGATCAGCTGCATGCACGCAACCTGTTTCGAAGAAAAACCAAAAACTATAGAAACATACGGACCTGAACAACAGTTGTCACAAACACGATAAACAAAGAGTGTGTGGAGAGGTGTTACAAATAACTCAGTTTGCTGATGTCCTGTACTTCTGTGATTGTTTTCTGTTGCTTTCTTTGAGATTACAGAAGTAAAGCTGCAGCGATGAGGAGGGGAAAGTAAAGAAAGAGACAGACCAGATGAAACACAGACAGTCCAGGTCTGCTGTGCCTATTGACTAGATGTGCATTATTAATGGATTTATTGGCAAAAGAAAGAGGAAAAATTAAAGCTGCAAGCAGCGTCGTTCGGCCCTCGCAGCTCTGCGCCGCTCCGGCCTGGCCGGCAGCCCGAGGCACCAGGTTACGTCCGTGGAACAAAAATTTTGACCACCCCGACACCAGAAACAGCTAACGGTCACCTCGTCCGCACCTCACCCTGACTGAGCATCCCCTCTGAGCACACCAAGTTTGGTGCAGTTACGACCTCGTCTGTAGGAGTTATTACAGTTTTAATGTTGTGTAGGGGGTGCTGTGGTGTTATTATACGAATTTCACCAACCATTTGTGTCTCATTGGCTAAAGGGCATGATTGTTGATTGCCATGTTCAGTCTCGTGCAGATGGGAGGCTGTTTGTGGAAGTTACGATCAAACGTAAGGTCATGGCGTCATGCCAGAAATCGCCATGGCATCAAAGCCCCTCCCTATCTGGAAAGTTATCAGATCTGAATGGTCATTGCAACATCATGAAGACAGTGCCTGACCTTAGTGTCATGTTGACTAAATTAGAGAGGACAAATATGGGCATTTCACCATAAAACAATAGACTTCCTGTTGTCAGGGGGCGGGGCTTAGGTGATGTCACCTGTCCACAATGACGTTGTCTTGAGATTTGGTCATTGATCACACGGACAAAGTTTGATATAGATCTGATCATGCACATTGGAGTTGTTAAGTCAAGTAATGTAATGGCGAAAGGTCAAAGTTTGAGGCTTAGCCACGCCCACACCATTATACTTATTTAAAATCCGACGGTTGAATTTTTTCCCCTTTGTCTTAAGAAAATATAACAGAAGTTTGAAGGTGATCGGTGAAAAGGGCGACGGGGTATCATTGTCCAAACAACGTGTGCGAAAACCACTAAATCGAGAACTTGGACCAAAATGGCCGACTTCCTGTGCGACTTTGCACTTGGCTCCCAGAGACTTTTTTGTAGGTCCTGAGACACCACATTAGTGTACCAAATTTTGCAATCCTCAGTCAAAGCATGGCTTGGGGCTGACAGTTTTAATGGTCATAGGGGGCGCTATTTCAGAAAATAGGCCACGCCCACAAACTTCAGCCATCCATTTCTATTGGGGGTTCGACTAGGATCACTCACAACAAGTTTCGAGGTGATATCACGATAAATGAAGAAATGAGAGGCAAACGTATCTCCATGGCGTGATGGCGAATTTCGCCATGCTCCCAAAGCCCCGCCTTTTCTCAAAACCTTCCAGTACTGGAGACCAAGTGACCTCAACTTGTCTGCTGCTATTTACCAGAGATTACTGGTGATTGGGTAAAATGGGTCCAATAGGGAGCTGTGAAAAAAAGAGTGGCGTGGCGAAAGGTCAATGTTTGAGGCTTAGCCACGCCCACACCTTTATACTTATTTAAAATCCGACGGTTGAATTTTTTCCTCTATGTCTTAAGAGTATATAGCAGAAGTTTGAAGGCGATTGGTGAAAAGGGCGACGGAGCATCACTCTCCAAACAACGTGTGTGAAAACCACTAAATCGCACACTTGGACCAAAATGGCCGACTTCCTGTACGACTTTGCACTTGGCTCCAAGAGACTTTTTTGTAGGTCCTTAGACACCACATTAGTGTACCAAATTTCGTAATCCTCAGTCAAAGCATGGCTTGGGGCTGACAGTTTTAATCGTCCTAGGGGGCGCTATTTCAGAAAATAGGCCACGCCCACCGGATGTTCACATCAGATCTTTTGGGGGGCCGGACTAGGATCACTCACAAGAAGTTTCGTGACGATATCTTTAGAAATGACGAAATGGGAGGCAAACGTAAGGCCACGGCGGTACGCCTGACTTCGCCGCGCCGCCACAGCCCCGCCCTCTGCCGAAAACTCCCATAAAGTGACGCCAAGCAACCCCCACTTGTCTTGAGTTACCAGCTACAAATTCGTGGTGATTAAGTGAAATGGGGCAATTTGGGACCTTTCACAGTAAAACTTGATCTTTTTGGTCCTGAGGGGGCGGGGCTTGAGTGATGTCATCATCCGACCATTCAATTTACTTTGTGGGTGGATGACGAATGACCACAGAAAGTTTTGTAACTCTATTTTATTCAGTTATGAAGTTATAGCAATTTAAATTTTTTTGGCGAGTAGTCAAATTTTGAGGCCTGGCCCCGCCCCTTCAACATATACGAAAACTCAGAATCCTCATCTCATTTTGTTCGGCCATCCCTTCTGAGCAATTTGACACAATTTTTGAGATGATGGTGCGAAAATTTATCGAGCAATCCAATCAGAAACGGACCCTAAAAACGGCAAAAACGGCTAAAAATCGCCATTTCAACCCAAAATGGCCGACTTCCTGTTTGATATTGACCATGCTTGCAAGAGACTTTTCTGTGCGGACTGGGGAGTACTACAAGTGTACCAAATTTCATAATTGTACGATAAACTAAGCTTTATGGAGAAGGGTTTTTTTCACTTTCTAGGGGGCGCTGTTCAGCCATTTTCTTTGCAATTTTTTTGGGACCATTAAAATATCAAATTTTTCACCAGGCCTGACATCTTTGCAAAATATTGTGAGTTTTGGGGTATGATAAGGTCCCCAAAAAGCCATTCAAAGCGGGCTAAGAATAATAAATAAAAATTAAAGCTGCAAGCAGCGTCGTTCGGCCCTCGCAGCGAAGCTGCTCGCCCTCCTTCCGCACCCCCTACCCTCCATCCCCGACCCTCTCCAAACCCAGCTCCGCGCTTCTCCATCCTGTCCGGCAGCCGGGGGCACCAGGGCACGTCTGGCAGAACAGAAAGTCAACCAACCCGACACCAGAAACCGTGAACGGCCTCCTCGTCCACACCTCACCCTGACTCAGCATCCCCTCTGAGCCCACCATTACACGTCTCACCACTAGGAGATACTCTATCTTTACCACACTGGTGATGTGATGTTCAGTCTTGGGCAAATCGGAGGCTGTTTGTGGAAGTTACAGTCAAACGTAAGGTCACAGCGTCACGCCAGAATTCGCCATGGCATCAAATCCCCTCCCTTTCTGAAAAGCTAGCAGATCTGAATGGTCATTACAACATCATGAAGACAGTGCATGACCTTAGTGTCATGTTCACTAAATTAGAGGGGACAAATATGGGCATTTCACCATGAAAAAATCGACTTCCTGTAGTCAGGGGGCGGGGCTTAGGTGATGTCAGCTGTCCACATTGTCATTGTCTTGAGTTGTGGTCAATGATCACACAGACACAGTTTGATATAGATCTGATCATGCACATGGGAGTTGTTAAGTCAAGGAATGTAATGGCGAAAGGTCAAAGTTTGAGGCTTAGCCACGCCCACACCTTTATACTTATTTGAAATCCGATGGTTGAATTTTTCCCCCTTTGTCTTAAGAGTATGTAGCAGAAGTTTGAAGGCGATTGGTGAAAAGGGCGATGGTGCAACACTCTCCAAACAATGTGTGCGAAAACCACTAAATCGAGTACTTGGACCAAAATGGCCGACTTCCTGTGCGACTTTGCACTTAGCTCCAAGAGACTTTTTTGTAGGTCCTGAGACACCACATTAGTGTGCCAAATTTCGTGTTCCTCAGTCAAAGCATGGCTTGGGGCTGACAGTTTTAATGGTCCTAGGGGGCGCTATTTCAGAAAATAGGCCACGCCCACAAACTTCAGCTGTCCTTTTCTATTAGGGGTCAGAGTAGGATCACTCATCAGAAATTGTGTGGCGATGTCACAATGATTGAAGAAATGAGAGACAAACGTATTTCCATGGCGTGATGGCGAATTTCGCCATGCTCCCAAAGCCCCGCCTTTATTCGAAACCTGCCAGTACTATACACCAAGTGACCTCAACTTGTCTGCTGCTATGTGCCAGTGATTGCTGGTGATTGAGTAAAAGGAGTCCAATAGGGAGCTGTGAAAAAAAGAGTGGCGTGGCGACAAGTCAAAGTTTGAGGCTTAGCCACGCCCACACCTTTATACTTATTTAAAATCCGACGGTTGAATTTTTTCTTCTATGTCTTAATAGTGTATAGCAGATGTTTGAAGGTGATTGGTGAAAAGGGTGATGGAGCATCACTCTCCAAACCACGTGTGCAAAAACCACTAAATCGAGTACTTGGACCAAAATGGCCGACTTCCTGTGCGACTTTGCACTTGGCTCCAAGAGACATTTTTGTAGGTCCTGAGACACCACATTAGTGTACCAAATCTCATACTCCTCAGTCAAAGCATGGCTTGGGGCTGACAGTTTTAATGGTCCTAGGGGGCGCTATTTCAGAAAATAGGCCACGCCCACCAGATGTTCACATCAGATTCTTTTGGGGGCCGGACTAGGATGTCTCCCAAGAAGTGTCGTGGCGATATCTCTAGAAATGACGAAATGGGAGGCAAACGTAAGGCCTAAGCGGTACGCCTGACTTCGCCGCGCCGCCACTGCCCCGCCTTCTGCAGAAAACACCCATAAAGTGACGCCAAGCAACGCCACCTTCTCTTCAGTTAACTGCTACAAATTTGGGCTGATTATTCGAAAGGGCGAATTTTGGAAAATTTCCCAGTAAAACTTGACCTTTTAAGTCCTGATGGGGCGGGGCTTGTGTGACATCATCAATCGACCATTCATTTGTCTTCGGGGGGCGATGACAATTATCCATAGAAAGTTACTTTAACTCTAATTCTTTCATTTATGAAATTATAGCAATTTGAATTTTTTTGGGAAGTGCTCGAGCTTTGAGGTCTGGC